TTTTTTTTTTTTTTTTTTTTGTGTGGGTAATTTGGTAGATGAACAATTAATTGTTTATATACACCACTTGTTTACAAAAGCTAAGGGCCCGATCAGTGTCTCCAATTTCTTTATGGGTTAAAGTTAGTATATTTACACACCCTTTTGCAAGGTCAGATCAAACTATGCCCTAACAGTGGTAAGCGGGCCGGTTTCGGGCCTAAACGGGTCAAGTGTGCCGGTCCAAATGGTCTCGATCCCCGGTCGATCCCAAATTAAACGGGCCAAACGGACTCGGGCTAAACGGTCTTTTTGTAAGGACCGGCCCGGAATCAGGACCGGACCCGTTTGGTCCCGAGCTAAACGGTCCCGACCCGCGGGCTAAGTGGGCCCATCAAATTAAAAAAAAATTAAATATGGGTTATTTTATTATATTATTATATATAGGGGACAAAAAGTAATGGAGAATAAATGAGTTATTTTATTATATAAAAGGGACAAGAAGTAATGGAGAATAAAAGAGTTATTTTATTATATTTATATATAAAGGGGACAAGAAGTAATGGAGAATAAAGAGGTTATATTATTATAAGTTATTAAAAAAATACATACACACATATATAACTAATTAAAAAAAGCACATACACACACACATATATATATAAATTTAAACGGATATATTTTTTTTTTTAAAAGTTGACCGTCTGGCCCGTGAAAGGACCGGTCCGGTCCCGGGCCCTGGCGGGCCAAATGGTCCTGGTCCGGTCCCTGGCGAGCCAAATGGTCCCGGTCCTGATGGGCCCAAAGCATAGGACCTGCCCAGACCCACTAAATTCGATCTTAACGGTCCTGGCCCGTTTGGTTCACGATCCCGGGCCTGAACCGGCTTACTTGCATAGTGTGCCCGCATATATTATTCAAAAACCATTTGCATAATGGCCCATTCCCAGAAAGTCTAGCACAACGTGTAATTCGTAAATTTTTAGCTTTTGTGCGCTGAACATACCATTTTTTAAACAATCTGTTTAAGATGACTATGACTGTATGACAAGGGTTAGCTTAAAAATGTAGTGTACTGTTAAAAGATGTAATAAAACAATAATAAAGTAAAAATTCTTTATACTATCAACTAGTTTATATTCTCTCCGTTCATTTTTACTTGACATACATACTAAAAATAAATTTTTATTTTTACTTGTCACTTTACGCATATTAAGAGAAGATAATTTTTTTTCATGTTATAACCACAATATTTATTACTCATTTCAAATTATTTTCTCAAATCCAATAAAATATGTATCAATTAATATGGATATCATGATAAATTATACACTTCATTTATTATTTCTTTAGAGGCATGAAAAATCAAAACGCGCCAAGTAAAAATGAACGTGGGAGTATAAGTTAAATTTGTTTGTAAATAATTCAAAACATATCTTTGTTATTTCTTTAATTTCTTATTATAGTTGTCAATTTGTCTTCTAAAGAGTAAATATTGCTGCTTGTTGATTTATTCTCCTGTGGAACAGCTCTATATATAATATGTTTTTTTTTTCAAATTCGGTTTCATGGAGCTTTTTTGTTTGTTTCTATTTTCCAGAAAAGATTTATGTGCGTCGCTTTTGAACTTTTGTCTTCTCTGCGTTGCTTTTGAACTTAATTTTTCATTTCTATTTTAGAAAATCTTGCAATAATTTCCCTTTATTCTCGCTCTTTCGTTTTCTTTTCCTTCTATCTATACAAACAAAACTTTAAAGATATGTGACATAAACAATTCAAGACAGTCAAAGTCTACTGTGTGTAGCATTTTCTTAGTCTTTCATCAGCAAATTTATCAGATTTCATAAGGACTTGGTTTTCCTTGCGGAAATAATAAACAATTTGTAGCAGTCAAAAGAAAATTGCTATGCTTTGCTTGCCACGCAGAAAGTTAAGACACGTGACCAAACCAAATTAAAGTAAACGCCTTTGATTAGCTTATCTTTTTTTTTTTTCATAGCAATACGTTCGCCAGAATAGTACTGAATATAGTGTTTTAATAACACTGGATTAGTAATACTTAAATTAGTTATGTTAAAATTATTTATTATCGATTGTTTGATTTGGTATATTAAAAATAATATGCATGTATAATATTTTAAAAAAATTATTTCTTTAAAAAAAATACCCTCTACATTCTTTAGAAATGATTTGGAAAAGATTTTGAAAGGACAGTTCTATCTTTATATATGCATACTTATCCATGTATTAGAATTACGGTATTGCTAATACTATGATTTACTATATATAAGAATAGTAATGAATAAAATGTATTAACTAATACAAGTATTAATTATATATAGATTACACAAATATTAGTATCAAATATGAGATTAATAATATCAAAGTTAATACATATATTATTTTTTCTGATACATCCTGCCAAATAAACTAGCAGTGCCAACCTATTATCACAATTCAACTTGTATGAGAATATGAATCTAGGGATTCTAAAGCTTACTTCATATCCTATAATAATGTGTACTTTGCATAGTAGCAGATATTTTATTTGTTGTCAGAGATCGGATTTAAAATTTAAATTGTATGGGTTCAGCCTTTGAGATTTTTACCATTGAACTCATTATATTTTTAAAGTTATGAGTTTATATTTACTTTTATAAGTAATATTTAGAGCATATATTGCACTTTTAAACCGAGAAAGAAAAAGTAAATCTTCGTTTTCTTGTGATCTTTCTTTCATTGTAACCTCAGGATTAGGGGTGGAGCTAAAGGAGTGGAAGAGATTCATTGACCCTTCGTAAAATCACACTATATATAAGCTGGTTAGTTTTTTTTATGCATTTATAGTAAATATTGAACCCTAAAAATTCTGCTATTACCACTATTCAGGATAATATTGTTTATATTGTATATTATAGATTTCCTGTTTGAACAAGTTTCTTCGTTTCATCCCTTCGTTGACATTTGTTCATCTCACTACCATCATTAGTCAAAATTTGCAACAAATTGTATGGACAAAACTAGCCCGAAACATAGTCTGAATAGTGGAAATCTTTTACTATTAATAGCTATTATCTTCTCTTCAGTATAATTCACAACAAAGAAACACATATAGCTGCAAAGCGAAGTACCATAAATTTCTAAATCCATATTCATCATGAGCAACAAAGTCTTTCTAGCCATCCTGTTTTGCTTCCTCCTCATTGTATCCAATGGTTAGTTATCTTACATTCCGCTCGCTTTTTATCAGTTAATTTTATTTTGTCTCGACATGCCTCTCAAAAAATTTGTGCACTTAATTCTTTTTTCACAAGCACGTGAAAGTAGTTTTTTTTTTTTTTTTACGTGGCAATGAAATTTTAACCTAAGGATCTTTTTGCCAGTTCTAATACTATGTTAAATTGTGTAATAATCTGATCTAATAGGTTAAGATGTTATAGAGAGAACTCTTTTTTTCCTTTAACTATATCATGTCTCAATTAAAAGTAGTGGTATCATTGTAATTATGAAGTGTGTGGAACGATAGGGTGCTAATTGTTAACTCACATTACTATAATAATATCCTCTTGTTCGTATTATTCCTTTATATTGATAATTACATGATAAGTAATATAACAAACAAAAACACGCGTTTCAGAAATATTGGTACACTGTCAGCATATATAAGTTAAATCTATTCTTTTATCTAACTAGGGAGGTGATCTTATATTATGTAGAGATGCAAGGAGGAGAGGCAAAAGTTTGCCAAAGGCGCAGCAAGACATGGTCAGGGCCTTGTATTAACACAGGCAACTGCAGCCGTCAATGCAAGAATCAAGAGGATGCTCGCTTTGGAGCTTGTCACAGAAGTGGAATTGGATTTGCTTGCTTCTGCTATTTCAACTGCTAAATGAAAAGAAAAAGAAACACCCTAGCTATATGTTTTGTCTCTATTTATATGAGTAATATGTAACAGTGTTGTGTGTCTGTTTGAATAAAGGGCGTCCAATTTACTAGAATTGGAAGTAGCCCTAGTTGTGTTGGTGTGTCATGGCTAAACTTTGTATTTCTATCTGGCCAGCTTTTGTTGGTCTATTATTAAACGACGAGTGCGTCTATTTGTTGTTTCATTGTGTTTTCGATATCTTCATTCTCATATTTGAGTTCTTTAATTCGACTATTTCACAAGTTAAGTAAGCGAAAGAGTTTGAAAAAAGGCGATGGCCTAGGGTTGCACTGGCAGGTAAATAAATATTTGAGTAAAGATAAAAACAAGAACGAACAAAGTAAATGCCACAAATAATAGAGAAAGAATCAAGGAGAAAGCATTAAGAGTTCTTATTTAGTGGTACGTTACCGAGCTTGGAGGATTACGATGGTGCATAGAATCAACCAATTGTCACGACCCAAAAATCCAACTAGTCGTGATGACACCTAACCCAACCTGTTATGTAAGCCAATTACCAACTATTCAATTACAATGACAATTATTTAAAAGAAAATATCTAAAACCAATACATTTCCCCAAGAACTAGTAGTACAAATCATGAGCTTCTAAGAATAGAGTATACAAAGCGGAAATAAAATAAATAAATAGTCTGTTTGAATAATACATAAACAGAGCTTTTATAAATCTAAGGTTACCCTGAACAAGAGGCAGCTACAACAGGAACGCAGGTACATCTTCAAATCCCGCAACCATCGAGCACAGCAACAACATCAGCCAACATCTACACGAAATGTGCAAAAATATAGTATTAGTACAACCGACCCCATGTACCGAGTAAGTAACAAACCTAGCCGTAGGTTGAAAGTAGTAACGAGCTTCCACCAAAGTCGGGTACAAAACCAATAGTCCACGATAGTCCATAACAACAATAAGCAAATAATACCAGAAGTAACTCAGAGATAAAATGCTCAGCCAAATCATGATTTCAAAAATAATAGTTCTTCCTTTCAAATCCATCAGTAAAAACTTAAATCTTTTGCCGAAGTTGTCAATAATATGAATAGTTTGAAAATAGTAAATTTTTCCAAAAATCTTTTCAATAATAAACAATATGTTTCATTTTCCTTTCGNAAATTTTATTAATAATAAACAATATGTTTCATTTTCCTTTCGGATAACCCGTGTAAAACAAATGCATTACTATGCCCATCTGTCAAAATGTGTGAGAAATCATGAATAATGTGATACCGTACAGCATGAGAAAAGCACATCTCTATATATATATGTCATGTGTGCATGTCAATGCAATGTATCTCAGAGATTGTACTCATGTACTCACACTTTCAGAGTACTCAATCTCATTGTCTCGCATTCTCTCTCACAGTGCTCAACACACTCAATCACTCAGCGCTATACAATACCTGCTGCGGCGTGCAGCCCGATCCCTATTTATAGTCGACTGCGCTCACTGGGGGTGTACAGACTCATGAGGGGCTCCTACAGCCCAAGCATTATAAGCACGGATAACTCGCGTGCTGTAATATCATATCTGGATTCGCACGAACAACTCACGTGCTATAATAATATCTGGATCCGCACGGCCAACTCACGTGCTATAATAATATCTGGATCCGCATGGCCAACTCACATGCTGCACGGCCAACTCACGTGCTATAGTATAATATATATATCTGCACGGCCAACTCACATGCAATAGTATAATATATAGATCCGCACGACCAACTCACGTGTAATAGTATAATATATATAAAGCCAATATGGCCTGTTGCGGCGTGCAGCCCGATCCCAAAAATATATCCTCACAATCAGGCCCCCGGCCTCCCTCAGTCATCAATCTCTCTAGTCTCTCTTTCATGGGCTCATAATATCATGAGAATAGCCCAAAAATAATGATATGATGTATCAATAAATAACAACAGAGACTGAGATATGATATGCAACAAAATGAATATGATTGAGTATGAATTTTTAATTTAAAATAAATATTTCACAACAATATGACCTCTGTGGGTCCCAACTTAAACTCTCGGCCCAAAGCTACGTGATCGCAAAGAACAATTTTTCATCGCCCAGATTTTACTCTACGCGATCGCGAAGCACAACATTGCAGACCTACGTAATCGCGGACTTGTCCACGCGATCGCGAAGCACAAAACGCGTGACTTCTACTCCGCTCCACTTACACTACACGAATGCGACCTTTCTCACGCATTCGCGAGTCACAAAATCTCAGAGCTACGCAATTGCGTCCCGGTTCACGCGATCGCGAAGCACAAAATGCCACTGCCTCGCATTAACCCTACGCGATCACAGATATCCCCACGCGATCACGTAGAACAAGAACCCCCACTGACCAAATAAGCCTACGCGATCGCAGATGCATTCACGAGATCGCGTAGAAAGAAAACATCATTAGATATCAGAAAATTCCAGCAGCTGTTCAAGTCCAAATTTTTGATCCATTACCCATCCAAAACTCACCCGAGCCCCTCGGGACCTCGACCAAACATACCAACAAGTCCTAAAACATCATACGAACTTAGTCAAACCCTCAAATCACCTCAAACAACGCTAAAAATAATGAATTATACCCCAATTGAAGCCTAATGAACTTTGAAATTTCTAATTTCTACAAACGACTCCGGAACCTACCAAATCACGTTTGATTTGCCTCAAATTTTGCGCACAAGTCATAAATGACGTAACGGAGGTACTCCAATATTCAGAATCGGATTTCGACCCCGTTATTAAAAAGTCAACCCCCCGGTCAAACTTCTCAAAAATTAAACCTTCGGCATTTCAAGCCTAATTCCTCTACGGACCTCCAATAATATTACAGACACGCTCCTAAGCCCAAAATCACCATACAGATCTATTGAAATCATCAAAATTCAAATTCGACGTCGTTTATGACCCAAAAATTTAACTAACCCGATAAGTCATAAATTAATTATAAGACATAAATTGAGCAGTAAATGGGGGAACATTGTTATAATATTCAAAACGACCGGCTGGGTCGTTACATTCTCTCCCTCTTAAACATACGTTCGTCCTCGAACGTGCCAAGAGTTATTTCTAAGCCATCAAATCACTGTTCCATCTTACCACACACGTACCCGGGGTGATCTCACGTCACCCTATTCTATATAGGCCTGACCACACTATATAACTGAAATCATTGATTTAACTTTAGCCCATAAACCTTGGAATTTAATTTCCAACCTTTAGAATTTCTTTCAAGATATGAATCTTACATTTACACCCTGTATGAATTTGAACCAGCTGTATCAAGCCATAACCATAACCATAACCATAACCACTGACATAATCACCTAACATATTACACAACTCGCATGCTCATAGCACCATTCCTGACCACAATGACTACTCCAAAACCAACCAAATACTAGTATTAAACCCATATCGAACCAAACCTCATCCCAAAAACTTCGTACACTGTTGATAATAAAAGAAACATGAAAAATTTCATGACCACTTACCAGATCAACAAGTCACGGAGCACTCTCGCCCCAACCAGAACCATAATCACTTTTTGAGTCGACTCTCAATATTATACTCCCGAATATACAAAAATCAAACCTGATACTACTCATTCTAGGTCCAATGACTATATATTACTAAACACAACTGTTCCATAGACATACCACACTAATATAACTCAGAGCCACAACTCGTGCAATCCGTGCACCAATAAGCAACAATTCAAATGTACCCAGTCATAGAAAATGACTCAAATGAGAGAATTTTCCCGCCAGATTAACAAGTACCGCCACAACGAAATGCTAAAAATTCATCATATACCGTAGAACCATCACCCGATTCTAACACAAGGTTCATATTATATACCCCGAGCCACCCTGCTCCAAATTAATAACGACGGAGAGGCAAATGACAAAAATGTCACACAAAACCTAAAAGAACATAATCATTACGCAATCGATCATGCAATACCCAAATACTCATCACGCTCAAATTCCGATATAAGGCTCAAATAGAACCGCACCATTTGTGCACATAACCAATGAATCACAACTCCTCGTAGCATAAAGGAGTAACTCACAGATCATTTGAGAACACGAATAAGTTCAACATCAACCGAATGACAAATCTCAATTGGGCCTACCTATGGACCCCCAAATCAACTCGGGTTACCCACAAATAGATAAAAATTCCTCTAAAAATCCATAATGACTGAATCATAATATATTTTATCATCTGTTTAGCTCTGGCCACAACTTCACAGTACACAATCATGAAACAATCTACTCCTGGGAACTTCCAATCTCCAAATCCATACAACACGCGAATCACCATATTTGATTCCATCTCCACCGCCCGAATGCCTAACACCTCTCTCATATACGATCATGCCACAAGAAATACTTTAAAAGTTCTTTCGTGCCACTTGACAAAATTTGAATATCAGTAGTCTATCAACCATGTGAGTATCGCAATACTAATTAAACATCCTTAAGTCAAAATATGATGTGCCTTCTGAAATACGCACCCTTCTTATACAACACCAAGTAGCAATCGTATTCATCTAGTCATTTGGAACCGCCCATGTTGTCTGAGAATTCATGACCATTTTGCCCAAACTTTGTTACCTTCCTTCAAGACTGAACTGCCACCTTGTACATGTAAATTCAAATCCCGCACAACACACCACATCTATTATGCCATCATGTGATAAGTACAAGAATCCCATTATCAACTCTGAGTCACCAGCAAATTACATACCTGGTTAGATAGAAACCTTCCTCCTACTTCCTTCCAGGAAGAAATCATAATACACAACACGTTTCCCACACCAGTAGATAATATCCGGTTTAATCCATGGTAGAAGCCATCAAGAACACTTTAAAATCAATCTGCACATAACCAAGTTATTAGAACTAAATTCCTCTAACTCGACCAAACCACGTAGGTCACCAAAACCCAAGAATATTGCCACCAAAACACTCGTAAGGCCTCATTATAAGACATCCTCAATTAGCACCACACCGCCCTAAGGCTCATAAGCCGTTGTATTCCTTCTTAAGTACCATATAAGTACCACCATCGAGACACCCACTCTGAAAATACCTTATTTGAGTCTAAGGCCATTTCATTCACCTTCCTGATACCAAAATATAAAAT